AAAAAGTGCGATTATGCCGTTTAGAAAGCTTTGCAATCTTTTGCAAATTTGATTGAATTCAGCCTCTATGAATATCATACTACACAAGTTTTCAACTCTTTTGCCGTAATCTTACAGTAACGAAGAGCAATCGGTGATTCACTCTATACTGAAAAATTTAAGTTGAAGCCAGCTCTACATAATAATACCTAATGCTTCTCGAAAGCTTTCCGTATAAGGAAGCTATTAGAGATCAAACAAAGATCAACCGTTCGATACATTTTTTGGGACACCCTGTATTTTGCGGGAACCATGTATCGCTGTCATGACACCTGCCAAACGCTCATAGTTAACAATAAATAAATGCAAATTTTTTCAAATTCTGGAGTTGAACTTCGGTGACGAACGACTGAAGACTAGAGTTATCGCATCGTACGTCGCGGTTCAGGAGTGAAAGAATTCTAAATTTCAAGAGCAACTCAGTTGACGAGTTAAGTCATCTTATAGTAGAAGTGCCATGTGGAGGAATGATATGCACAACAATTATATAATATGTGCCTGTTGTCCCAAACTTTTTTCCCTCCTACAGTTAGTATAGAACAGGAAGCAGCTGCTTTCCGATTCAAATTACGATTCAAAATTTACGATTTTAGATGAACCCGCTCGTGATAGTTTTTTTCCTGCTTGAGGGTATTTTTTAATCGCAAAATCATCAATAACTCATTGTCAGATGTAAGGGAGAATTCATGAATCTAGAAACTCGTAGTAATAATTTATACAAAGAAATTTTTTCTACATCAGACTCGGACCAATTCTTGTGGTCCATCTCCATACATTTCTGAGAGGATGTCAGCTCTTGATGAGTGAGCTGTAGAAGGAATGCTAGGAGCAGTCTCCACTTCGACAACCGTATTATGCGTTACCTAAAAAAAGTCATTTTTTTATCCAGCACATTGTTTGACCGTTGAACGAGTCTGGAAATGCGTACTCGTTTTTGAACTTTTTTCTTTTCCTTTGCTTGTGAGTGATGCTCTGGATGTTCATAATATGAAGGATTGGTGTAGAGACTTTTTCTTCGTGGTCCACCGACGTTTGCAGTTGGTGACTTGTTAAAAGACAAGGGAGCTACACTGGTCCTTCTCTCGTAGGCAGCCGCCAACTTTTCCAAGGAAACTGTAGAAATAAGTTCTAGGGATTAAGGATGTGTCGAAGAGGAAGAGATAAGCGGGGAATGCGCAGATTTCTGTTCTAAATAGATTCAAACCTACTTTCTGCATGACCGCCGAGATCCCCATTGCCTGCTTTCTTCTCTTTGATAGGTTCGTAGTCGTCCCATCCGTGGCCATAAGCGTGCAAGGGATAAGCAGCTTCACCATGTTTATAGATATCCAATCCATTAATCTCAACTTCTTCAGAAACACGTAACTTTCCTATCTAAAAGCAATATATGTAAGCAAAAAGGAGGAAATGTTTCAAAAAACGTCTACCTTTCTCAAAAAGAGGAAAATTGGGATCATCCACAGAAGAGACCAAACGATTATTGCTATTATACAAACCAGTTGCCAACCGAGTTGCTAGAATTGAATCAAGATACTAGCTTATGTAGAATTCAGTTTAGTGTAAATCAACAATCATAAATAGTAGAAGCCGAAAACCAGATAAATATGCCAGGGTGTGGCGGAGAAAAGTAGAGGGATAGGAGCTCACGGTAAGAGGATTAATTAATTTCTGTTTCTAACTAGCTATTCAATCATTGCTATCCTAATCTGAAAATGACTCGTTTTGCCATCTACTGAGTTCAAATTTAGCCTTTGTAATTGGAAGTATGCAACTGCTCTTCAAAGGTTGTAAAACAAATATGTCCCTTCTTTCACTATTTCATGAATGATCCAAAAACAAAAGTTTCACTTACAGCGAAGGCTTGTTCGCAAGAAAGCTTTCCGTGATTGTTAGCTATAGCGTTAGAGATAGCATAAACAATTCCATCGTGGGAAATGATGCATGTCGAAAGCAATCCCCAGAAGCCACCACCGGCATGAACTGCAAACGCGTCCAAGGGGTCGTCTACTTTGATTCTGGAACTTTCTATGGTTATGACTTCATCCATGAGAAAAACTAACCTTATCATGAAGTTGCTGAGGCCTAGATAAACGAGTCCAGCCCCTATTCCCGTAAACGATGATGCCCATGGCTCCATTCGATTGCAACCAGCACAAGCTGAGACCATGCCTGAAATACAGTCAGTAGAAGTT